TTAACCCTAAGTGTGGCAGAGAAATGTAAGTGGAAACAAAACAGGACAGCTGGATTATCTGATTCTCATCCATAATGTTCTGCTGTTTTATATGCTTTTTATATTTTTCTCCCTCTCATGACTTGATGTCATAATGAGTTAATATCAGCTCATTTAAAAAATTGGAACCATTCCAAGGAAAATACACAAGGCTGCTACCCTTTTCACCGAAGATCTTTCGTTAACGAATGATGACAGAAGCAAATTTTTACCACAGCAATTTGCATGGTATTGCTATTTGTATGAAACAGCAAACCAGAGAATAATAAAAGAAAACACGGTGTCACTGGTAAGTGAGGGAGCAGAGCAGCCCTTCAGCTTTTTCCATGCTAATAAGAGCAAACAACAAGATCGTTCATTATAATGAGGGGTACTAATCACACTCAGTTATCACAGTATTAAGTCACTTCAACTATCTAGAGGTCTCACCTACATTCTCTCATGTATTTTCTGTTTGCAGTAGAGTGTGCTTCTCAACGATGCCCAGTAGCCATAATTTCTTCAGCACAGGTTAATAACCCCGTTCATCATTGCAAATGCATGTGCTTGAACAATGCACCTAATGAGCAAGCAGTGGCATACAGCACTGATGTGGGTAGAGTGAGCCATTTTGGGGCTCTAAGTTAAATATCAAATATAGAAAGGCAGTAGATAAGGAGACCATGGATGTAAAGTTACGGACTGGCTGGGCACAGTGGCTCACGACTCTAATCCTAGCACTTTGGGAGACCGAGGCAGGCAGATCACTTGGGGTTACGAGTTCAAGACCAACCTGTCCAACATGGTGAAACTCCATCTCTACTAAAAATATAAAATGTAGCCGGTCGTAGTAGTGGGCATCTGTAATCCCAGCTACTGAGGCAGGAGAATCACTTGAAACCAGGAGGCGGTGGTTGCAGTGAGCTGAGATCCTGCCACTGCACTCCAGCCTGGGCATCTGAGTGACACCCTGTCTAAGGCTCAAGCCTGTAATCCCAGCACTTTGGGAGGCTGAGGCGGGTGGATCACGAGGTCAAGAAATTGAGACCATCCTGATCAACATGGTGAAACCCCGTCTCTACTAAAAATACAAAAAATTAGCTGGGCATGGTGGCGTGTGCCTGTAATCCCAGCTACTCAGGAGGCTGAGGCAGGAGAATTGCCTAAACCCAGGAAGCGGAGGTTGCCGTGAGCCGAGATCGCGCCATTGCACTCCAGCCTGGGTAACAAGAGCGAAACTCCGTCTCAAAAAAAAAAAAAAAAAAAAAGAAAGTCATGGATGCCCTGATTGGGGACTTGACGTCAGAGAACTTTTAAAGCAGGTCAGAGGAATACAAACAAGTGTGTATTTTATTTTTAAGTAACATTATAAAGAAGGGTGCAGTTCAGTATTGAGTGGTACAAATGAGAGCATGATTAGCCAGAACAGGATGATAGGAGAGCAAAGCTCTAAAAGCAGCTGGTGAACTCAGCCAGACCATTTGCATTTCTTTGAGTCTCATGTCTTCGTATATTTGTTATAGGATGAAACATTTTAAGGGGGACTAGAAAGTTCTTCTCAACTCTTAAGATCTCTAGGTTTCTGAATAGAGATAAGAGGGTTCAATACAACCACATCTCTAGAGGCTTTAAAAAATGGCAATAATCCAACTAAAGCTAATTTAAGAAAGAAAAAAAAAAGAAGGAGGTTTGTGGCAGTCAAGGGTGTAGTCCTCAAGCAGTTCTCTCTCTTTGTCTTGGCGCTCAATTCTTCTTCACCAGCCTCGTTGCTGAATCAGTTTTTCAACACAGTAGAAAATACAGACTTTGAAACACCAGGCTAATATAAGCTGTAGCTTCAAGGGAGAAAGTTTCTCTCCTGGCATCTCTATTAATCCTCTAAAAGGACACCTCTGGTGTTGCTTAGGTCATATACTCAGGGCGATAAGATGATCTGCCTTGCTAGCCTGGTTCTTGACCTACTTTTGCAGCAGGAAGGGTCAGTTAGGCTTCTTGACCAAAACTTTCATGGAAATCACATGGGAAAGAGGAACAGGAGTTTTCAAAGGGTAAAAAAACAAAACCAAAACAGGTATCTGTGTATACGCTTTATACAAGATGGTCAGTCAGGGAGAATATTTATTTAAAAGTTGAAATGTATGTATTTAAAATGCCAATTCTAGGAATTCTTTGGTTGTTTTTATTCAGCCATCCCAAATCAAGCATTGTCATTGGCATCAGATTTGTTGGAAGAGTAGTGTGACCCGTATATATTTCAAGAAAACTGAGAACATAATTTTTAAGTTGCTATAATTTTATGAAGTTCTGTTGAGTAGACTGGACTTCTTTCCATTTATATTTTATCAAGTGAGTGAGTTGTGTTTGCTGCATAAAAGATCTGATACTCATTACTGATCCAGTAAGTTTTATCTAAGCTGTTTGGAGTTGCCATACTAAGTTGACTCTGAAGGAACGAGATTAGTTTTCTTTTCTGGTTGATGAACCCCACTATGTATCACTCCAGTTCCACTGCACCATTAAACAACATAATTCATTACAAAGGACCCAGCTCTGAAAATCCCCTAATATCCAGAAGTCATGGAGCTAAGTAGTCACATCCTCGTAGGAGCACAGCAGGGATCTTATATATTACAAATATTGAGGAGAGTTGGGCAAAGGACACAGTTTACTGAAACCAGTTGGTGTAGAAATCTGTTGTTTTGGCCTGTATGATGTCCATCCTTCCTTCTGTTACAGAACCCTAATTTTGCATTTGGAAACTATTCTTTCTATTCTTAGTCCAATCCTTTTGGGGTTATCCATGAAAGTACTTCATACTTTCCCCTAGCCAAGCAGTGGGCAAGAGATCTAAGCTAGGCTCAATAGCTGTTCTCTTTTTGAACTTTCATCTTGAGTAGAAAGACACAAAGTTTAGAGGAGCCCAGAATAAAATGCTCATTAGCTCATGGTGCCCACATCTTGACCCACCCAGACCTGCCCTAACTGTTACTCCCTTCGTATTTGGGATCCTCTTTTCCAGTGTATCTATTAGTTACCTCTGTATCCTAATAAACTCTAAATACATGTTATTCAGTTAGCAACTCATTGCTATCCATTGGCAAGTCCTGGGTACCATACCACTCCATGATTCCGTTGATTTAGCTCCTAGTTCTGTGAGTTCGAGTGGATGCTGGGCTCAGCTGGGTGATTTGTCTGGTCTCAGTTGGACTCCCATCTCAGTCATCTGTAGTCATCCTCAGATCGACTGGGCAACTCTGCTTCTGGGCATTTGCTGGCTGGCAGCTGGGGCACCTTGCAGGGTGACAGAGGTGGGAAGAGTTCTAGACCATGTCATCTAGCAGATTGGCCTGGGCCTATTCAGATGTCAGTGACAGGGTTCCAAGTCAAAAAGTCGAAATGTGTGAGGCCTCTTAAAGCCTCGATGCAAACTACAGCAGAATTACTTCAGCTGTAACTGTATTCTATTCACCAAATCAAGTCAGGCAGCCACCCCCAATGCAAGAAGTGAAGTACATGTGCATGGCCTCTTGATAGAAGTAGCTACAAGGCTGCAATGCAAATGAGTGAAGATGCAGGAAGAGGAATGACTGAGGGCACTTAACCAATCTTCCATACCCCAAGTTGGTTTCTGTATCTTACAGCTAAAGAACCTAATATGCTAATCAAAACCCCTTTAAAAATACACCTTAAAACACTGGCCTGCTCTTTTTATTTTTTGATGTACCTGATTATGGGAGGTTTGGGGAGCCAAAGTCTGTTCCTCTACAGCATACAGTATAGAAACAATCTCGTATCCTTAATCCAAGCATGTTGTGTCTCCAGGAGACTGCTTGCCACTCCTCTGTAACCCTCTTAGCTGTGTAGTCTCAAAGGTTCATTGCCATCAGTTCTGTCGTCTGCCAGGTCTCTTGAAATTTTCGTGTATCACCTTCTCAGTTATGACATGTCAACATGACTTTGCCACCCCACTGTGTGACTGTTTCCTACTGTATCTAGCACAGCACTTACTCCAACATTTGAGTTTGCCTTTCTGGGATACATATTAGACTTGGGTAACTTCTATTTTCCTTTTAAGTAACATAGCCTCTTGGTAAGCTGTATCAATGAGAGAGTAAGGCAAATACTCATGTTAATGTACACTGCTGCAGGTGTTTCTTACCAGTTTTCATGCAAGTTCCAACTCAGCCTAGTCTTCTTTGGTTTTATGAGATCTAATAAGATCATAGTAAAGGAAGGTATAGCTGCAGGCAGAAAATATGTTTTTTTAATAGCAAGTTCATAAATTAATATAGCAGCACTGAGACAACGTGGCTGTATACATGCGTTAAGATGGAGCTCTCTTCAGTTGATAACCTTCCCTTCCAACCACTAATTTCTCAGGAATGGTGCCAAACTCTTAGTCAAATGTAGCTTCAATGCAGCATCCTACCCTGTCAGTGTGAAACGATATTAAGACTTTATAGATGAAGCGATGTTCTGCTTCCATTAATAACACCTATTATTCCAGGGTGTTTTAATCTGGTGATAAAAATTGACTCTAGGGGCAGAATGTGGCTTGGGAGCTTATTTTAAGGGCAAATGGTTTGTTTCTAATTTTTCTTTCAAAAGAAAAAGGCTTTTCTTTTTTTCTAAAGGAGATTTTATATTGCATTGAGTTATATAAGCATGAGACCAAATTCCTAAAGTATTGGTATGATCATAGATTTTTATTTGATTTGGTATCATCCTTTGGTATGTCAGGTAAAGCTGAGAGATCTTCCAGGGCTTCTCAGCTAGCTTAGAGTTGGCAGGCTCCAGTGTTCTGCAATATGTCATCAGCTGGGATCAGAGGGTGTTTCTTTTACATTGCTTCTCACACTTAAACATTAAAATCTCTTCTCAAGCAACAGTTTATACAAGCTACTGGCTGAATTGCATTTGATAATAAGAGGCAACTCATTTTTACATTGCATTTTGATGGGCATTTTACTTTCTTATTATAGATCTACTAGAAGAGACCCAAAGAAAAGATGAAGAAATGGAATCTCTGCAGGTAAAGTAAATTTTTAAATAGGGCGAGTATCTGTGGTATGAAAACATTTGTTTTTTTTGCTCTTTTATCCTTTATTATTGTATTCACATTGGTACATTCACAATGGTACAGCAAATAGGATGACAAGTACAATGTCAGAACTGTAAAGCTGGAATTTGCTTCCTTTAGAAGTCTCTGCAAGCACTTACCTAAAGCAGAAAGCCAAATCAGCATCTATGCTACTTCTGAAAGGAAATTGTATTCCTTGGTATAGCATAACAGGAACTGCATCATTAGGAAATGAAGGCAGTATCCTCTCATAGTCATTTCCCTTAAAACAGGACTGATGAATGAGGATGAATTCATGGAAACTACATTTTCAAGTAAAAGTCAAAAGTATTCTGACCCTATGGGTGTCATCTACCAATGACCAACCAATTAATACATAAATAGAGCTTAAGATTACCTTGTATAGCCTGGCAATTCAACTTGATTTATTCACATTTCTTGGGTTGGAAAATTGTGTTAGAAAGATTCCACTCAAATTTTAATTGACATTTTCATGATATGAGCAATGGATGTTAAGTTGGCATCTGACAGAAGTTCTCTCTTCCATTCACGTTGGGCTAACTTACAAATGGGTAACTCAAGTGTCTGTCTTTATTAGGGGAAACATAATCAGTTATATTCCCATGACAGAACCAGTTCACCTAATGTCACGTTGGGGATTAAGAACAGTAAGTACTTTGGACGTTTAGAGATCTTCCTGGACCTGGAGCCACAAGGCAAGACTAGAGAGTGATGTAATGAGCTGGTTTGAGTGCTTTAAGGGTAAAGATGTTTGCTTTTGGCAAATGAAAGACAGGTCATGTAAAGTCCAAAGAGCAAGGGAAATGTTCTGTGATTGGGGATTCTTCTACTTGATGGTATATCCATTAAGAGAAAATTGTGTAATTGATCTGAAAGTGCAGAGGAACCATAGTTTATACATCTAATAAAAGTGGTACATGTTAGCTGCCGTTATGTACAGATTAGATTATTTTAGCATCTTGTACTACATTCAGGTATAAAAAACAAAGAGCATTGGTTAGTCCAGTTTGGGGCTAGGAAGAATCTCATGTGTATGCTTGCCCTGCCTATCTCTGTGAAACTCATATTGGCAATGCTTGTTATAAAAAGCATAGCTCTTTGTATATTAAATGTGTATATTGAGAAAGTCTTTTTTTAGGCATTGTGGTTACATGTGGCATTTACCATTGCCCCCAAAATAACATGTATAAACATATTTATTGAGTGTATATCTAGCCTTTTGAAATGTCAGCACAACTGGTTTTTCCTTTCACAGTACAAATGTTGAAACTAGTAATCTCATTAAATTTAATAGCCTATGTTGCTTCTCAGATGTTTATTAAATACTGGCAGCATTTTCCACTGAAATGTCCATCCAGTGCAATAGAATGTACCAGCCAACTAGCTATGGACATTTATAAATTGAGAATGTGCAAAATAACGTCCCAGAGCAGAAGAGTTAAATGTTGACACTTCATTGTGGTGACTGGTGCCTGATACTAACACTCTATTATGAATAAAGAAGGAACTCTCAAAATGTACAAGAGTACAGAAGCCTGTCACAGAAAGCCTATATAATGTTAAAGGCTAGAGGAAAATCCCTGGGGAAGCACCTGTATTCCCGAGTTTCTATATTCACATATGAATGTCCTAGGTAATAGTTTGGAGAATACTATTCAAGTATATAGGCTGAAATCCTACAATGACACCGTAGTACCTGGCTCTGTTTCTGATTCACTAGGTAACCTTGGATAACTCAATTAACTTTGCTGTGCCTATTTTCTCATCTGTAATAGAAAATCATAAAACTGTCTTCCAGAAGTGTTTAGTGTGGATTAGATTATCCCAGAAGGGAGAACTAAATATTTAATACCAATTTACAATGTTAGCAAATCCTCATGTATCCAAATTGGAGTCAATTTTATTTACTCATTATCATGTTATAATTATGTATAACAGACATTCTGCATTTTATGTTATTCTCCTTAGGGGTAGGGGATGTTTTATTTAGCTCTAAATCCTTTACAGTTTCCTATAAATGATGTACTCCATTTACTTATTAAACAAACACTTATTGAGCACCAATTCTCTGCACACCACTCTACGAGGTGCTAGGGATACAAAGGCAAGCTGTGTATACTGGATGGCTTCTTGCCCTCTATATCACAACTAGTGAAGACTATGAAATCAGTGTTTATAGTAAAATACTCAAAAATTGTATTAAAGGGAAAGTATAAGTGACTGTGGGAACATATCATAAGAACATCTGTCCTTGACGTGTCATAGGTAAGAGTAGGTTGGTGGAAGTAAAAGGGGATTAAGTACAGATGGAAGTAGGTTGAGCTGGAGTGGGGAGGCCACCCAAGAAGGCTTCCCAAAGGAAGCCAACGTTGGATTGATAACTAGGAGTTAGCTAGGCAAGTTTGCAGTGAAGATAAAAGTTTTAGGCAATGGAAAGAATAGGGGAAGGCCTAGGGTAAGGGCACAGTTTCGTGTTTAAAGAACTGAAAGGTCAGTATGTTGGAATGTAGCATCTGAGAGAGGGGCAGCAAAATGAGAATTTTTAAGGAGATGGAGATCTAAAGGTCTTCGTAGAAGAGTTTGGACTTCACCTTCAGTATATGAGAAATTGGATAAGGGTTTGAAATAAGAGAACAGTATGAGAAATCTGCATTTTAAATAGACAACTGGCTATAACATGAAAAATAATTAGAGCCAGGCAAGATTGAAACCAGGGAGACTGATTAAGCAGACATTTGTGAGAGAGACTCTTAGCAACAGATGATGATGATCTGGATTGGGTGGTAGTGGAGAGCATGAAGAGGAGTGGGTGACTTCTTAGTATGTTTTAGAATATAAAGTCCACGGAACTTTGAGATTGGTTGTTAGGAAGTAAAAAGAAAGGAGTTAAGAATGATTCTTGGGTTTCTCAATTTGGCAACTTCACAGATACTTCTTCTCATCAATGATATAGGAGGAAACTGATCAGTTCAATTTTTGATATTTTGAAATGCCCAGGTAGTAATGTTAAGGGAGCTTATATGAGTCTGAAGCTCAGAAGGTATTTAATCTGAACATGCAGAATTTGATGCCATCATATCTGTTGTCCATATCATAGGAATGATACTAAAAGTCATATAGCAACTGTGAACTTGCAGGGGAAGTATTTAGAATGAGAAGAAATGAAATCCTAGGCCAGAAACCTAGCAAACACCAACATTTAAACAACAGGCTAGGGATGAAAATCTTGCAAAGGAATCTAAGACATAAAGAAAACAATTTCAGGAAGACATAGTGTTATGAAGTTTAGTAAAAGAATATTTCAAAGGGAAGATCATCAACAGAACTGAATAAGTATTTGTTAAATTCTTTGATTCATTTAGCTATGGGGTTTAGGTTTCAAAACAAAAATTTACCTTTCAGTGAACTGCAATTTTCTATCATACCTGTCAATAAACTCGCACGTCTTTCACTTTTCCGAATGTCCATTACTTAGCACAGTGCTTATCTTAGTAGGTACTTAGTAATTTTCTGTTTACTAAATAAACAAAAAATGCCATCCTGTTGGTCTCAGATTTATATAGCCACTATTCCTGGATCTCCTCAAGATCCACTCATTAAAAAACACCAATCCCTGTCCTGTCCTAGAGCTCATTTTATGTTTAAATTTTTTGGAGAGAGACATTCAAATTTTGTCATTCCTGTACACACACACACACACACACACACACACACACACACACATACACACACCAGTAATTTGACTTGAGTGGTCGTAAGCAGTAGGAAAGGATAAAATGGCAGGGGAAGGGGAGCCGCAGGGAAGAAAATGTTTTCAATCTTCGGAGGAATCACAAACAATGGAGACAAACATATTTGATGGTGATTTTTAAAATACAGCTTGTAATTACCAAAATTTTTCATTGGAGCTTAACATTGTCTGGCTCATTTTGTGTGTGTGTGTGTCATTCATTTGCAGTTACAGTGTGTGCTGCTCCTCTTAAAAACAAAGTCTTGTCTTTGACTATAAATGTGTAGTGCAGTATCAGAGTTCTATTTGCTTATGGGTTTGAGATACATTGAAACAAGCAAATCCCTTTTTGTTCCTCTAAAGATCCACCAAACTTTTAAATAGACACACAAGGTAATCCATTTTCCCTCAATTTAGTTGAACGGTATTCAGTGACTTGACACCTTGCTGGTGATAGCTGATAGTGGTAAGTGTTGCTGCTGTTTTGTGTTTTTATTTTTTTAAATACCAGTCTACCTGGTTCACCTTTCCCCATGTTGCTTTCTGAATCCTAAAATGCAGAGCACACCGAGAGTTCATATCATGCTTAGTTGTAAAGTCTTCACAGTGGTACCTATGACAGTCACTAAACAGAGTATCTACAAAACTCATATACCCTTATTCATACGATAACTTACTGGTCATCTCTCTTTTCATTTTATTTTATTTTATTTTATTTTTGAGACGGAGTTTCGCTCTTGTTACCCAGGCTGGAGTGCAATGGCGTGATCTCGGCTCACCGCAACCTCCGCCTCCTGGGTTCAGGCAATTCTCCTGCCTCAGTCTCCTGAGTGGCTGGGATTACAGGCACGCGCCACCATGCCCAGCTAATTTTTTGTAATTTTAGTAGAGACGGGGTTTCACCATGTTGACCAGGATGGTCTCGATCTCTTGACCTCGTGATCCGCCCGCCTCAGCCTCCCAAAGTGCTGGGATTACAGGCTTGAGCCACCGCGCCCGGCCTCTCTTTTCATTTTATTTGAAATGAGTCATATGATAACTTCCAGTCATCTCTCCTTTCATTTTATTTGTGTGAGTTAAAACTAGATGATTATGAACCTAATTTTACTATTCATTTAACCTTCTTACTCAACCATTGGTAGGTTATTTTGTATCAGCACAATATATAGCTATTGTTAAAGAGGGATAATAATAATTCTGA